CCACAGCACAGTCACAGCTTCTTCCTCACCCAACACCGATGCGCGGAGCGGGAAGGGCACCTCCCTCCCCTTACCCGGGACACAGAGCTACAGAGACTCCTCGAGGCTGAGAGGCCCCTGCACGTTCAGGGAGAAGCAACGTGACAGATTTTGAGGAAGGGTGAAGAAACACTCCAGCGTTCTATTGGGACAAGCAGSATAACGTACTCCATTTTGTTGTCCTACTAATTACCAAACGACAGGTCGATCCCCTACAACGATCACGCCAGTCAAGGGTGGATGCTGGTATCACAAAGATCTTACCCTCCTCATAGTAATGAGGAGGTGGTCTCCTCATGAGCGTGAGGCCACCACCTCCTCCCTAGTACAAGGATCAGTCTAAAGATCCCATCTCACAGGTGACAGCAGCACCATCCACTGGAAATCACCTCCAGATTCCCAGGAAAAAAGCGTTACTCACTGCTAGTGAAGGTTGAGCCTTTATCCTTGTTTTAACCCCATCTACAGCCCCATTCTTGCCGAGTCCTGGACAGAATTCCATCAAAGATTCTTCTCAAGCCACTAGTTCAGCAACAACTTCACTTATTCCAAGAAACAGTGAGACAGACAGACAGATGTACTTTTTTTTCTTTTTTTTTTTTTTTTTTGGGCAGGAGATGGGGGACAGAGTTGCTTCTGTAGTCATCTTCCCTTAGGAATCAAACATATTCAGGATCTCCCTGTGTGATCTTGTCTTTAATTTTACTGTGTATAGACTCTTCTCAGTACTGTACAACAGAACAAGCTCTTGCTATAAGCCAGCACTGAAATGGGGAGAGATACTCAAGATATCACGAGACGTAACAGCAGTGGAGGCCACGGGCCATCCTCAGCGCCAGGATGAGTGCTGTAGCACTCCTGCATAGCGAGTGAAGAGCAGCTTCCACATTCAAACCATCAGAGAATAAGGACGGTTTCTTCTGCTTTATTGTACATGAATTCATACTGAATTCACAAGCCAACTCAAGAGGCAGCCCTCTTTTATTCATGGGTGTAACAGACACATGCTTCACGAGACAAACTGCACCCAGAAGAACAGACACAAACACTGCCCTACCACGAGTGCCTGTAACTTGCTCCATGTCCAGCTCTGCCCTCCCATCTGGAAAGAACCATTCYCCAATCTATCTGACTCTATCAAATCCTTCTCCCTGATGGTTTCTACCCTGTGCAAGACTGACAGTCGCTCCCAAAAGGGAGCTGCCAACATAATATATTTTCTTTCCCTGCTCTGTAGTAGTCTCCTTCCTTTCTTGTTTCAAGGACAGAAATTCCTCAGGTGTCTTCCCACTCAATATACTCACTCTCCATTTTCTTTCTAAACACTTGCACTGCCCTGGATCTCCTTTTCCTTGAAGTATAGACTTGCTGTAATCTATCTATCTTAAATTCCTTTACCCCTAATTACATTTTCAATTACAATCATACTCCTCTTCCCTTATTTTCTTTCCAAGTTGACAGAGCATGCCCCAGGACAGCTGTATTGAGTTTCTTTTCTATCTGTAGACTTTCATTTAGCACATTGCTGCAGTTTCCAAGTATCCCATTCCCTCTCCCATAAAAAGGCAACACTCAGTCCACACCTTTCTATGCCTTGAACATACAAACTTGATGCTGCTAAAAATATCAAAGGGCTACTTTGGTTTCCTCAGCGGTGTCCTCTCCTAGTTCTTTTACCTTATATCACTTTTTCACATTACTCTATTGCTCTTTTTAAGATGTCTCTAGAGAAATCCCTCCTTATTCCTTTTTTTCTCCTTCTATATTTATTACTAGCTATTTTATGTGCAATTAGAGAGATAGTAATTAAATTCAAACTGACAGCTCAAGTAGTGTAGTATTTGGTCCCAAGTGAAAATCTTGGCTACAGTTTGTCCCTCAGCCCACAGACTGTCTTCTGTCTCCCTTGTTGACTGCTGAGGAGATACCACCATACTGCTAAGCTTAAGAGGGAACTGTAATGTAGATATGATTTTATTGCTGATTTCTACCATCCTACTACTCACCTACTCTCTACCATCTCTAATAATCAGGCTATTTCTAAAACTGGGGGATTAACTCCCCCTAAAATATAACTGTTCTTATCTACCCACATATCTAAAATTCTTATCTATCATCTCGATTGCTTCAAAGTTGACTTCTGAGGAATTCCAAGTCAGTTTTGCATCATTTATAAAGGACTGATAATTCTCGTAGACCAGTGTTTTCACCATTGCTCTCACCTCTTATTGCATCTTTTACCTGCACCACCCATTGTTGAGCAAAACAAGGCACTTGCTTACAAGTTTCAAGCCATTTTATAAGCAACTTTTCTTAATCTCTTAATAGGTAAAAGACACATCACTCACTTCTAATTAATGGTGCCTACCTTCTTTGGAGCAATTAAGCTGCACTTGCATAAGGACGCACAGACTGTGCAGCAGGATCTCTTCCGTCCCTAGCTCCAGAAGCCACTTCACATACAGTGCCTCAAATTCCCAGCTACACCAGCCAGCTCGTCCTCCTCCACTGTCCAGAAAAATCATCCCACAAGCAGGAAAGTCAACGTGATTACAACAGGAAAGGGCAACAGCAGCGCTACATCTCATCTCTTCCACACACCTCCACAAAGCTGACTAGAAATCAGCATCTAGGCCAACACCACAGAAAGTCACCAATACAATGAAGCAACCTGCTGCCAGGACTTTGTGCTCATTTACCACCAACTGACTGACACTCCTCTCACTATATGGCAAAGTTTTCACCACCACTTCCATTGTTTTCTCATCTTTAATTTTATTCTAAGAAACAAAGAAACCCCCTTCAGAGAGGTCATTCACTTCACTACATCAGACTGTTGAGATACTCTGGAAATAAAACGCCAAGTCTTTGCCTTTCCATTTTGCATTTTTGCAGGATTTGCATTTGCAAAATCCTTTGCATTTCCATTCCTTTGCCAAAAGGAATGTTCCCAAGGCCTTGTGTGTTCGGCAGTGATCCTCACCTTGAGGACAAGATAGGGAATACAATTTTGGGAGGTATCTACAGAAGGACTCTGCTCTAACTCACAAGTCTGTATTCTGTATCTGTATTTTTCTTCMAATAGAGATTTTCTGGAACGCAGGTGATTGCAAAGGTTTGATTCAGAGAGAACAATTTTTAGCACATTTATAGATGGGTCAACTAGAAATGATGAGAGCTTGTCACCTTTACTATGTGGAAACTGCAACCTAACAAGCTCTTTGAGCCCTGCTTTGAAAGGCATGATTATATTTTATATAAACATAGGAGCAGGAGGTGATCCTTTGGAAACTCTTCCTCGGGCCTATGAGCTACCTCATGAGCAAGAATACTAGAGCAAGAATAGAAAATCCATAAAACAGAGATGGTAGGACAAAATTCTGCCCTCATCCCTATTTGCACTAGAGCACACCAAGTCTGGAAAMGATCATAAGTGAGAAGGTGCCCCTGGAACACCATGCCGGACAAGGATGGACTTCCATCTCTGCCACAGGAGCAGCAGCCAGCCAAGGAGATGTTCTAGGTATACACTCCTCCTACACTCCCAAGCCCGAGAAAGATCTCTGAATCCTATGGAGTGAAATTTAAGGCATGTAAAGCAGTCAAAATATATAAATAAATTCTATCATGCTAACAGATTTTAGAATATTAATCTCAATCCAAGAGACGTTAGTGGCTCTGAAGAGCAAGAAACACGACTCCCTGGAAGTGAAAATTCTTGCTCAATAACTACTAACAAATACCAACACAAATGAGAAATTTGCCAGAAGATCCAAGTGCATGAAACAGCTTGGGCATCCAGAACGTTAGCCTAACTTACGCATGTTAACATACAAGATGAGCCAAGTGTGAATATTAACTGAAGAGAAGGTAAATCCATCCTAAATAATCTATGCATTTCTTCCATCACTGAGCTTCCTTGGACAGCCTGCTATGGGGCCTTCMCAATGATGATTCCAACCACAGCACCAGAAAAATAATCATGCAATAGCATTTCAGAAGACCATCAAGTCCCCAGCAACAAGAACATGAACGGAATATTTTAAACGAAATGCAGAGAGACTGCTAAAATCAGAAAGGGAAAAAAATATTTGTTTTATAACAAGTTTTTAAAAACCTCAGAACTTAATTACAGATGTAAGGCTAGCATTAAACGTATCTAGTATTGCATCTCATCATTCTAACAAATTTATTCTTCATTATTCTAACAAGTCTGTTGGAACTCCCCCCGCTTTTCACCTTCCAGTGTGGAAGCCCTCTTCCCCTGTGCTCTACAAAGGAAAAACATTCAAATACGTTCCTAAAGTCTCCAAAGTATTTGCATCTTCTGAAGAATTTAGAGTTTGGGGAAGTAATACACATTTAGTCTTTGTTAGGTTATATCTTCAGATCTTTAGCATTCACTAGTCCACCTAAATGCCTGTCAAACACGGGTACAATTTCCTAGCAATTCTCTTGGCAGCTTAAATGTTTGGGCATCGATCCAGAGATAAAGAGTCCCAAGTATCACCTCCGTCTGGGGGAGCAATTATGCCACTTGGCTGATCTTTGCTCAGTTTTCTCATCTTTCTCAACTCTGACCCAAATTCTGCCTATGCCCAACCCCACACCAGGAGGGTGCCGCAGGTTCTGGGACTTGTTTTCCACCCTAAACTCCACCCTCCACAGAGCAGGGCGACATGCTGCTGGTAAGCTAATATTTATAAGATGCTTTAGTCATGGAAATTGCTGTCAGTTCTATCAGCACCCCTGAAAGAAACTGATTTTGCATCACTCTAAGCTGTTTCAAAAATGAAGTGACTACTACACGTCCCCCAGCCCTTCAAAACCAACACACTCGATTATTATTTTATAAGCGTTTTCTCCTCCTCCTCCCCTTATGCTCACCAGTTTCCCCTACCATAGCTGAAAACCAAACAGAGTAAAATAGTTTAACAAAAGCTATTGCTCAAGTGTCTTACCAATGCAGGCCATTGAATTTGTTTGCTCTTTGATCCCTGAGTCTGGCTTGGGTCCTTTCGTTTCGCCCAGACCAGCTGGTACTCCACCAAGAACGTTGCAAAATCTTCATAAACTTTAACCCATTCTCGTTTTTCCCATTCAAGGTCATCAAATTCCACGTATACCTGCAGAAATTTAAAAACAGGAAGARCCACGCATTATTGCATATATACACACATGATCGCATCTACGTGCGCTTTTGAGAGCACACTTTTAAAGTTTAATAAAATCTAGTGTCACTCCTTTTACTTCCATRGCATTGAAATGACATCGTTAATCAGTTCCAGCCACAGGGAAGAACTTTTTCCCGCAGCACATGTGTGCTAAGGAGCATCTGCACTGTGTGTAGCTGTTGCAAGGCAGCTGCACTTGTAAAATGCTGGTATTAACCTAGGGTATCCCAGTGAATGAGTAAGTAGTTACTACTATCATTTATATAACACATACAGCTACTGTATACCRGCAAAGAAGTTCGGAGAACACTTTTCATTCTCAGATCTAACATTTGTCATAATTAATATAAAAAACTAACAAAAAAACCAAMCAAACAAAACAAACAAACAAAAGAAGCTCCATGGTGGCAAAAGGAGGAACCACTGGGAACGGAGCCCCAGAAGGTAGGTTCTGGCCTCCTAAGKCTGCAGTCCCTGCTCCTATGGGTGCCCTCGACACAAGCCCCTTCCACCCGCGCAAGCCCCCCAGGGCTTCTCGCCATTCACATCCTCCGCAGGCGGCTCTGCTGGAATCCCACTTTTTGGAGGGGCGGGCAGCAGCTTCCTCGGCAGCTCAGCTAAGCAGCAGCAGCAGCCGGCATCCATTTGGCCTGGTGCCCCTGCTGCTGCCGCGCACGCAGCTCCCCCAGGTGCCCGCAGCCGCACGTGCCAAGCTCAAGGTGCCCAACCTTTGGCCACCTCTCGTAAGCGATACGGGAACTCGGAGTCGGCTCTCGGCGCTGCCCGCAGCAGCAAGCTGCCTCAATGCGCTAAGCTCCCAAGTTACAGAACTAAAGCCACAAACAGCTGCTCGGCACACAGGACAGGGAAGGGGCTTCCTTGCAGGACAAGGGAAGAGGCTTTGCCGCTCTCCCAAATTTCAGCTTGCACCCAAGGTACTTCTGAAACTTGACTTGCCTCCTCTCTCTGCTTCCAAAGACTCGAATCACTGTCCTAGAAGAACTCCGTTGTCTTTTTAGCTTCAGTTAATTTCAGACGTGCAGAATATTTCCTTGTTGTCACACACTTTCATCAAGGTTTTGTCACACACTCTTTCAAAACATGAACCCCGCAGTAATCCTTCCCCATCCTGCATACACGACTGATACGGATGCTCTGCTCACTCCTGTATCAGCATTCAGCATCCCAATTCCCCCCTATTCTTTCTTCTTCTCTCCCATATTACCTCTGCTCTGTACTCCACGCTTCCTTCCTTTCTCCATTTCAAAACACCAGTCTAAGTGAGAATAGAGCTGCACTTCCCTCATCTTATAGCAGCCCATTACTGCACTTCCACTTCTAATTTATCCAACTAAAAGCAGCAGCAAGTTTCTCTAGCTGCTACTTCTGCCAAGCTGCCTTCAGTCCACGTCAKCCTTGCCCTCCTCAGAAGGTCAGAAGCCATCCTTGCCTTCCTCAAAGGGCTCCGTGCTCAGAGGAGGGGCACCTATCGCTGCTCACCTGGCTCCTGCTCCGTCCTCCTCCAGGTGCTGGCCCCGACCGCAGTGCTCGGCCCAGCCTCACCAGTATGGCTCTTGCTGGGATAGATCTTTTTGCTTCTCATGGCACCTCATGTATCACATATTTTCTGGCCTGCTCTGAAACTCTGAATTTAATTCGAGTGTGAGTAGGACCTGCACCTTATAAGAAAGGATTTCTTTTTGCAATTGGTTAACTGACAAAATTTAAAGACAAGGTTCAGTGATAGCACATTCAAAATCATTCTATAAAAATCACCTTCCACCTTTCCCTGTTCCCTTTCTCCTGCAAATGCCACTCAATTGTTCYTGGCTGGTCAATCTTTCTTAAAATAAAAAAAGATATGTGGAAAGAAGTTAGACTTAGCCTATAATAGAGTGTAGGAGGTTAAGTGCAAGACTTTGCACAGCAGCAAGTTTAAAAATAGAAGGCAAAAGGGAATTAAGTTAATAAATGCTTTTGAAAAACACAGCTAAGCCTCTCTGGAGTTAGCAGCCTAGAAAGCGCCGTGCTGAAACACACTGTACCTCCTGGGCAGCTGCCAGAGCTGGTGGCTGATGCGACAGGATCCACCACGTGTGCGCAAGCTCTGCGCCGTGCGCACGCTGGAGCCCGGCGTGCACGGCGGGAGCTGGCGCTGCAGATCCCTGCCCTTGCCCAGCGCCCCATATTCCCGTCCGCCTGCCCTGTGGCTACACGCAGCCTTTCCTGGGAGCGGCTGCTGGAGCTCCCGGCGCCGGGYGCTCCGCGGCCTCCGGCCTTGCTCAGAGCGCCTCTCGCCAGGGCGCGGGCGGCAGGGCAGCCGCAACCCCTCAACCCCTCAACGAGTGGCTGCCTCGCCTGCGAGCGTTGGCTCGGGGCACGGGAGCRCCCTGGGATCTTTCCTGAGGCTACAGTGAAGCCCCCGAGGGAAACGGGCTTCCTCCTTCTCCAGGCACTCGCACACGGCTCAGAGAAACGGGGAATCCCAAGTGCACAATTCAGGAAAGTGGAAAAAAAGAAAGWCAAAAAATACAGCAACGTGTGCCAGCAAAATAAAATGTGGAGTCAAAGAAAGACCCTCTAAGGAGTGCCAAGGCTGAAAACATTTAATCCTTCTGTTGTTTCGCTGAGGAAGCACTGTACAGCGAGCAACAACAGCTGCCTCCTGAAGAACAAATGTTGATTTTAACATTTTGGAGCCAAATTTTGCTTCCCTGCCTTGTCAGCAACTCAAAGGTTTGTTTTGCCAGAGCGGCTGAGGATCCTCACCACGTACCACTATAGACGTGCACACAAAAAAACCTTCCCCTGGGAGAATATTATGTTTGTAATTGGCATTAGCAGACTAATTCTGCAACTTGCTGCTGCTTTCCAGCAGGAAGTGGCGTAAACCTCGGTGTTTTTTTCCAAGTTAAGCAAGACAACAAATGAATTTCCAAACAGAGCCAGCCAAACAACTGCAGCAAAATACTGATGTTTCAAAGCCAAAACRCAAGTGTGGTGAAATTTTCACCACGCAGCTCCATGACCCACAATTTTCCAGTTGCTTTTGCTCCAAAGGAATCCACCCCCTGAACAAACCGGGAAYGTTTCCAAACTGCCATGAGACAAGCATCGGCCTCCGCGGAGCTTTCCTRCAGGGCTGAAAGGCACAGCCGGCACGTGGGCAGCATCCCCGGGCGCCTCTGGCGCTCCCGCCACAGCGCCYGGCTCCTTATTCCTGACAGGCCGCGCGCCTGCCCGGTCTGCGGCCCCTTTCAGCGTCCTCCTGGCCTGGCAGCAGCTCCAGTCACTGGCAGCAGAGAGGTCTGTGTGACAGCTGCTTAGCAGGGTTTTAACGGGGTGTGAGAACGGAGCTGCTGGGCCTTGTATTCCCCAGACTGCGAGCTGGGCTCCCCCTGACTGAGCGCAGGGCTGCACGAGAGGCGCTGCACCTCCAGCACCACCTACCAGAGCCACAGTGCCCACGGCTGCCCCTTGACTACRTGGAGATCGGTACCAAAATCCTTCTTCTGGTATAATCAAGCATTTTGTGAAGCTGCATTTAATATGGCAAATAAGACCCTTCTGCTGTGACACCTGGACCAGTCTCGATCCAAAAGAGACACTGTTTGAGGYGAGTCCCAGCATGTGTCCCACTGAATTGTTACCTTAACATTTTTACACTAGGAAAAATAAAGGACAGTATTGCATCATGTACAATGATATCTAAAAGAGCTGATTTCAACAGCARTATCTTGAATCTCTTGTAAGGAGTATATCCACATAAAGCTATGATTAGAGCAAAGAAGAGAAGATAGATATTTTCCTCTGTTTCAGCCCTCCAACGTAGCCAGAGTAACAGCGAGCAGCAGAACCCTGTAACACAGGAAGCCAGGATGACATTCCCAAATTTCAAGTTGAATACAACTCCAAATTACATCTTCCCTTCCCATGCCCTCCTCTATTAACTGTGACCTGCAAACTTAATTTCCAGGCAAATATACTTTATGAGATATTTAATAACTTATTTCTGGCCGCGTAAAGAGGGTGCCGAGAGTTCTCTGTATTTTAGAGTGCCTTCCAGAAGGGGTGGGTGGAATAATCCCAGCGAGCAGTCAGTGCCGCCCCCTACTGACCCCACAGCCCAAGGGAAGGAAGGAAGGAAGGAAGATGAGATTTCTGAACACAGGCTGCCTTTGAGGGGACACAGGTCTAGAACTGMCAGGGACATTTCTGGAGCTATGAATTCCACGCAGCCCTGACATTTGCTTAGTCCTGGTGGTCTATATTAGTATTTATGCAATTGAAAATCAAAATAAAGTACTGCAGGCTTTGAGCAATTTCTCTGTCTACACACGGAAATAGGCGCTGCTGCCACTTACCGAACGGGCGTAAGTGAAAGCTGGCTGGGGGCACAGGAGCAAGGGAGGCAGCGGCTGTGTGCTCCGCAAAGCCTCCTCTGCCCATCCTGTTCCCAACACCCTGGCCTTCTGAGGCTCTGTACAGATTGTTTGTTTGATGGAAATGGCATTATCCAGCACACAAGTCCTTCTAGATCTCTCTCTAATCAAACCCAAACACTGCACAATCTACTATAAAGAGGAACAGCTTAACCCCGTCAGACCATTGCTACGTTGTGCCCACTACCATGCGGCACCAAGGCCCATGGATGGGGCTGCATCTGGCAGCGTGCTGCAGCAAGTCTGTGCTGCTGAGCACACCCCAAGCGATGAACAGTTTGGTGGGGGCCAGTCCACGCTGCCAAACTGAAGAGCAACCGCTAATGCTGCTAGGCAGAAGGCCCCCAGTTGCCCAGGCAACTTCGCGCAGCTTCACAACAGCAGCTTCACAACAGCATCGCCAGTTCGCACTCAGGTGCAATGGAAACAGATGGGTCACAACCTGTCCAGTTCTTTAGGATTAAAGGACGATTTTATGGTCCCTGTGTACTCCTAAAAAATAAGCAATAT